TGACGTGCTGACGATAACCGATCGAATTTTAATCGGAATCCCTTCAGAGAATAGCTGACGTGTGATCCTCTCGAAAATTCAGGGTAAATTCCGATATGCCAGAAATCAATCTCGTAGATGTCATCATCGCTTTTTGTCTAATAATACTAATTAGTATTTAACAAATAATTATAAAACAGATGAGAGAGAACAGTACACAATATAATAATTTATTCGTTTTTATCTATGTATAATATAATGCGTAAAACTTGTCTTGATATGTATTAAGATAGTAGATTAAGATCTGGATTTGTTGTCGAAATTTAAGTACTGATAATAATGAGCAAAATTATTTGATACTATTTCAGTACATTGTTATATTAACAATGATTCATAAAAATTGATACAATAAAATCAGCTTATGTTTTAAATAATTAAGAAATTAATACATACTTCACGCATAAATGCGCTGTACAACAAATTTTACAAATTTTTAAATTAAAAGTAATGAAATTTTTTTAAAATGTATTGAGCTGGACTAATGCTTTTACGAGTTTACGCCATGATCTTCGGACCGAAAAAATTGTTTTCGGTCAAACGAAACATTTATAAGGTATAAAAAACCTGCCGTTGCATTCGGGTCGAACGATCTATTAAATTTTTATGAGCTTTTTGTCGGAAACCTCACAGTGCGCGTTCGAGCAGCTCACTGAGAACCACCGTTAGCTCTAAATTTTCAGCCATGCTTGCATATAAAGAATGTCATATAAAAATTTGATACACGGTGAAGTATAAAGTTAATCCCTATCTGATTGAAATAAAAGAGTCATTTTACCATTTCTCAATATCTTTTTCCACAGCGATGAAATATTCCGATAGCGCGCGACACTGACCAGATATAAGGTATCAAGCTATTAAATTTAAAAAATATACAATTTCAACGGTATTACTCAAAGCTTTATCATGTAAAATTAAATTCGAGCATGGTTTATAATTATAAATTTATAACGTCACAATTACAAGTCCGATAAAACTTGAAGATCCAAAAAATATTTTTATTATCTTTAGCATTATTGGCAATAGTAGTAAATATAAATTATAAAATTTTATATAATTATAAAACAAAATAATAATGTTTAATTATTATAATCCGCTATATATTTCTTGCAAAACAACACGATTTACAACGATTTTATCTGTCACATGATCGCATCTACATATAACTCTTGTAGTCAGCGAGAAATTTATATTCGCGGAAGAATGATTTTTGCGCATCAGTTCTTCAAATCAAATTCAACAGTTCACTTGCGACGTAAGCAAAAATATACCACTGTGTTCTGTGCACACTAAAACTGGATCTATTTTGAGAATAGCTACTTGTGTGTTAGAGAAATGTGAAAGTAAAGAAACAAAAGGTAAAAGACGAGAGAATGAGGAGCGAAGGGGTGGAAGGAGGGGAGGGAAGAGAAAGTGAATGCATCCAACTCCGCTTGTAATGAACTTGTGAATATTTAGTGAGGTAATTGCTTTTCGTGGCGAGTCTCGCCTGCTGCTATAAGGGGTGTCCGCCAAATCCGAAAGCAAAACCAATATCAGTCGACCACCTGTGCTCTTAGCTTGCACTTCGTCATATATACGTTACGTGTGCCCATCAGCTTCACATATATCGATAATTTGATTTCCTCGGGGACATCGCAGGCCGATTGCCAGCCATTTGGCCGACTCTACTCTATTTCTATATTCTGTAATATATGATGAACAAAAAAATAACTTTACTTTTCATAAGACTTTAACGACGTTGAAGAAAACCATTTTCTGTCAAAAGTAAAAATATCTAAACATTCCATTTACAGAACTCATACATTACAAAACCATCGTTTAGCTTAATAGTTACGATTTTACATAAACTGCTATGTCAATATTGTGAAGAACTCAGAAAGAAGAGTTTCAATATTTTTTAATTTTTGTGTACAATTACATACTATATAAATGTATAGTCTAATTGTAAGATAGAAGTATTGTTGAAGCAATGCATTAAAATACAGTTTTTGTTGATGCATCACAAACAAAACAATTTTGAAAATTTCTACATTTTTCCAAGTAGCATTTTATCTAGACATATTCAATGTTATTGTCGTATTTATGGATTCTATAATTTGGATTCTCATATTGTTTTCAGTAAATTTTTCTTTCAAGATACTAACAGAATAGTATTGTTTCTTAACTTCTTTTATATTTTTTACATTCTATGTACTCAGACTATTAAAAAACATGTACAATTCAATTGACGCAAGTACTTAATTGTGCACAATATTCTGACAATTAATTATTTTGTATCATATGTCATTTTTAATATTTAATAACACAAGAAGAGAGAAAGAAAGAGACAATTAAAGGAAAAACATAATTTGGTGTCAGGGATTAAAAAGCGATAATATTATTCAATAAAAAATACTAGTCATTCATATATAATAAATGCATATAACAAGTTCAAGGAAACACGCAACAAAATTGTAATCTGCTGACGAGCAAAGCCTAAGCTTACTGCACGTCTCGTGCAAGGAAAGCCTTCGTGTTCTTTGCACGCCATCTGAACGTTTTATAATCACTATACTTCTCTTCTTCTTTCGTTATCCTTCCGCACTTTTATATTCTCTTTCTTTCTTAGTTAGAAAAATGTCTGGCTATTAATTTACCCTTACCTCCTGCCGCGTATAACATCTTGACAGAACGTACCACCTGGTAAAACAAGCTGCATAAATTAAACGTTGGATTATATATTCCGAATTTCCTTTATTTTCCGAACAACGAAGAAGAATAGCGCAAATGAGTAAAGATTAGAGATCCAGCTCGTGTTAAAATATAAACTCATAATTATGAACACAACATTCATATTTTCTGCGAAGAATAAATGTGGTCTTTTTATAAAGATATATCGTTATCGCAGTACTTTTTCATACATAATCACCAAAACGCAATAAATGGAATATGAAAGAACAATGAACAACGGAAAAGAAATGTTTTAATTATAACATACTATTTTATAACATACTGTTTTATTTATACATAATATTTTATGTCTGAATATCGAATTAAAACTACGTTTATACATTTAGACGAATCAGAAATAGTATCCAGACGTCTATATTTGTTGAGGCGATTAAAAATAGCGTGTCTCGACAATTATAGGTTCTCTCTCACCTCGATGAAACTGACGAAACGTACCCGGATCGATCATCGGTATATACTATCTCGCGGAACATCTTATGACAACGACGGCAACCAATCGATTTCCAATTTGAAACAGAATAGAATCCATTAATAGCGCACTTGTCGACGACGCTTCCCACCGGCCGGATACATTTCGGCGAGTGTCAAAGTGAGAAACGACAGAAGTAAAGCGAGAAGCCGGCGCGGAAGTAACGGAAAAAAAAGGTATATTGCCGGAGCGAGAGAGCACGGCATGACTGCAAGAAGGAGAAACGAGGGATGAAAGGGAACATACGAGATGCGCGTAAGCGAGCCAGGACTGGCAGCCGGTAGCTGACTCGTACCGATAAGAAGTCTCGATCCGTTCACTTCCGCAGTTCTCTCTGTCCGTCGCCCCGTTCCTTCCTTTTCCTTTCACGCGCCTCTTTCTCTCGTACTTCTTTTTTTTTTTTGCAACGAGAATACGACATTAACTGACGGACGGAGAGCGACGTCAACGCGACGCCTGCGATCTAGCACGGAGCGACGGCGGCAACGGCGTAGACGATGAAGGCGACAAACTCCATTGGAGCATTGAGCTCAAAACGAAATAGGGAATTTAAGTGTCACCGTTCTGTGATGAGGTCTTTCCTCGCGAATACTATCCCTCTTTGTGCTTCCTTTCTCCTTATCCCTTCTCACTCTCGTTCTTCTCTCGGTTTGTCATTTTCTTGTTTCACATACGACAATATCTCGAGTATTCAAAATTCTAAAATATTGGAGTTTAATCGAGATATTCTAATGATATATAAATTTGTATAACAAGATCTAATAAATATATGTTAATATGTGAAAAATGTATAGATGCATAAATAAATATTATTAATATTGTCTTATGAAATTGTCATAAAATATAAAAATATAAAAATACTTTACGTTTTAAAAATATACGTATAAAAGAATGTATTATGCAAATCTAATACGCGAGGTATATATATAGTTTGCGAACATATATATATCCAAAGAAATATATAAAACTTTTTAACCTGATTTAAAAAACTTAGCCTAAATGATCGTTAGTGCGCGAAAGACTTTTTCTACAGACAGTAATTCCGGAAAAGGGCAAACAATTAAGTAGTGAATTCCACGCGGCCTACCCACTCTCATCCATATGCATGCAATTACTATTCCAAGTTTATTCGCTACCGATCGTTACATCTCTCGTAAAACGCACTTGCACACAAGTGGCAGTTTGACAATACAACCGCCCGTTAAACTATTGCTGTTAAATTGTGCTAAAGTATTCGCACAACGGGAAGATCTTCGCCATCACTTGATATGAGATATATATTTCCATGCCAAATACATGCCTTAGGTTTCGAAATGCGCCTAAATAGTTTCTCTGTTATGTCCGTAAAGGTAAATTAACGTATGCAAGTTCACACATATTCAACGCACTTCTTAAAGTATAAATGTTATATTCTGTACAGGTAAATTAATCTTCATATTTGAGTTTACCGATAAAATCATTAATACTAAATGATATTCTATTGCGATAATTCGTTAATACTTAAACGTTGACTATTTAGGTATTTAAAAAACAACATATATATATA